CAGTTCAAGGTGGAAAATACCAGAATTTGAAGTCCCAATTTTAAATATTCTGCCCTATTGTTAGATAATGTGACTTGACATCTAGCTCTAACATTGTTTGATTTCATTGTGTATAGAAACCCATCTGCTTATAATTTTTACTTTATTCCAAGAATCTTCTTGCCTTTAGAACAGTGGTAAATAAGAAGTTTTTTTCTAAAGGCTTATATAATTGTTGCTCTGGTGACTTATCCTATTGCCTTTGAGAAAAAAAAACCCCACAAAAAACAACAACCATTTCTCTTTCTGTTACTATGGAAAAGTACATGCACTGAGAAACTAGCAAATTAATAAGACTCTCTTAAATGCAAATAGTGAATGAAAGCAGGAACCCAGAGAAATAAGCAAAATGCCAAAGCCAGCTTTCATCTTGAAGATAGTTGCTAAGCCTGGTGAAATTGAGTTAAAGGCACAGAAGATAGAAGACAAAGCTCATTGTTTACCAGAAGTTGGATGTTTAGCAAAAGTCTTCCTATTAAAGAAAGGACAGAAGAGAATTACAGTGTCAATGTGAGGGGGACATAAAACGATTTCTCTTGTATGTGCCCACCCAGGAGCTGCAAGGATGATACTGAACGGACAGGGGAAACATATCTCTTGTGATAATCCACAAACAGAAGCCAGCATTTGTATCAATTTATATCCCGAATGCCAGCATTTATAACAATTTACCCAAATAAGGTGATTTGAAGAACTTTAAGGCAAGTGTCATTCTAGATTATAATGGTTTAAGGTGCTTGGCAGAAGCAAACAGAAATCATCTTTAGAGGAATTCACTTTCAAATAAAGTCTAATAGAAGTCTCATAAAATCATAATTAATATCAGCTCTCATTTCAAAAGCAAAAAAGCAATATAAAACAAGGCATTAAAACTAAGAGCCAACAGCAATAACAGAGAGTAGAATCAGACCCTAAAAGACTTCATATATAGGAATTAGCAAATGCTTAAAGGGACAAAAGAGATTAAGTATATAGATAAAAAGCAAGCAAGTAAAAAAGTCAAAACATATTTGAGAAAGAAACCAAATAAAACCAGAAATATAAAATAACTGAAATGAAAACTTCTATAGATCAGCTTTAGTTTTAGATTAGGTATTGCTGAAAAAAAATGTTGAACTGGGAATTGATTTAAATAAATCTATCAGAATAAATACAGAGGGGCAAGGAAATGCAAAATGTAAAAGCAACAAGTCATAGAGAATAGTATGAGAAAGTCTAGCATATATCTTATCAGAATTACAGGATGAGAATGGAACAAAATCACAAGAGGAAATATATGAAAAACAATAATGTCTGAAAATTTCTTAGAATTGATAGAAAATAGAAATATTTAAATTCAGGATAAATTTAAAGAAACCCACATATATCACAGTAAAACCGAAGGACAACAAAGGCAAGGGATCTTAAAACTAGTCAGAGATGAAAGACAGATTACTTTCAAAGGAAAGACAGTGATGCAGGAGAATTTTCAAAAGCAATACTGAAAATCAGGATTCAATGAAGTAACATAATATCTTCATAAAGAGAATCACTATCAATCTAAAGTTCTATATCTGGTGAAAGTACTTTTTAAGGTAGTTATATTCCCAACCGATTCTCATGCGATAAAATTTTAAAGGGATAGAGAAAATGACGCCAGATGAAAAAATATTAAATATGTGAATAAATCTGAAGAAAAAAGACTAAAAATAATAAATAATGTTTTGCGAAGTATATTAAATTATAGAAGTTAATTAAATTATCATTAAACTAAACAACAGCAATAACTGTTCCAGCATGATTCGGAATTAAAGTAAATACGAAGGGTAAGGCTATCGATCAATGTAGGACTTTTATGCATTTGTGTTACAGGGGTAGCTACTAAGTGAACAGAAAGAGTATAAAATTTCCAATATTAAAATGGAAATTATGGAATGAGCAAAATAAAAACAAATGTGAAGAAGGTAAGAAAAAAAAAGAAACATAGGACATATGGGGATAAATAGAAAACAACATACTTCAATGGAGAAATAAACCAAAATATTTAGTACTGATGTTAATGTAAATAAAGTCAGTTTCATTTAAAAGTAAAGACTATCTAACCATATGCTATTTACAGGAGACACATACAAAACTTAAGGATAGTTTAAGCAGGAAAGTTGAAAGTAAAAGGATGGAAAAATATAAATTGTGATTCTTAGCCCATAATTTCCTTAAAGAAAATACTGTGCTATAAATATACTTGTAATGCCAGAGACTTTGTGTCTTAAAGTGTCTACTGTATTACAAGTGCTGGATTACAGGCTTAGAACCACAAGCTACCCAAGTTTATATGTCTTTGATGTGTTACTGTATGTCTAGTTTATGACTTTCGGCTGTCAACACAGCTCCATAGCAATCAGAACTGTGGGTAGTATTTATAAGGTGATAATTTGTTTTACTGATATATTCACAGTATTTCTCTGTCAAAACAAACATATTTCATTTAATTGTTCAATTAGATAAATGGGAATTAATATGTAATTGCTTAAGAGAGCATAAAGTGTTAAGAGGGAAGCTTTAAAGGCTTCTTTTGCTGCAGTGAGAGTAAATATTCTTTTTAATTCTCTTGTTAGAAATGACTTAAATGATCATTTTGACTTAACGGTATTTCACATTTAAATGGAGCTATTTTAATAGAACACTCCACATAAATCCTGCTCACATATACAGGGAAAAATCCCAGTTTAATCTTTAACTGTGATGAAGAATGCTTGAACATTTTTGTCAGAGGACTGTTTTTAGCCATTGAATAAATATAAGTTGATTAAATGGTAAGAAGGATTTTACATTAGAATGAAGGTGAAGAACAGTATGTAACCTTGGAATAGGAGGGTGGGTATTCTTGAGATGGAAAATACACATAAACTAAACATGAGCTTAGAAATATTTCTAGAGACAAAAAGCCATTTTTGATGCGGGCTTTCTTGAAAAATCTATCCCTAAGCCTTCACACATCACTAATTCAAGAATATACCACTATAGAATATAGGTTCTACCATAAAATACTATACAATCATTAATAGTGAGCTACAAATCATTTTGAGAGGTTGATGTTGAGTGGTTGGATATAGGTTACTCACTGGCAAACTCTCACACCAGCTTAGAAGCTCGTAACATACAAATTCATGTCTCAGCAAAATGATAAGATATGGACCTTATGGGCCAATAGAAAATGGCAGAATCTATGAATGTAATTCCAGGAATTTCTGGTTTCTACTCAGATGTCTACTAATTTAGGATGAAGAGTTACGTAAATAAGAATAATCCTGCATAAACTTTACTGTCAAAAGATGCTACTAATTATACACCAATTTTCTGAAATTCTAGCAACGAATACTTAAAAATATATAGCCCAGATGTATAAAAGAGAGAGAGAGAGAGAGAGAGAGAGAGAGAGAGAGACAGAGAGGGAGAGAGAGAGACAGAGAAATATTGATGTGAGAAAGAAACTATTTGTTGCCTTCTGTATGTACCCTGGCCTTTTGGTATACAGGACAATACTATAACCAACTGAGCCACTCAGCCAGAGTGAGTAGAACATACTGTATTTTTCCCTTGAAGTATAGTACATATCACCTATATTTAAGAATTTAACTTGAATTATTCATGCATAATCTAACATTTAAATAACTGGCCCCAAATTCTTAATGTCCAAATATTCATTGGCTGTTGAATAGCATCAGAACGATACACATTTTCTTAAGAAAATTATGTGAGAATTTGATATAGAAAACAGTTGGGATGTGGGCTCTGGATTGGTTGGTTTGTTTATCAAAGGTGGGCTTACTGGGGCATCATTCACCACCTCTAGGAATTAGATAGCCTGGGAGGGCAGTCTTTCCAAGATTAAGGCTCTAAAAATTCCAGACCATTAGGAATACCAAAAATAATAAAATGTAGCCAATATAGCAGCCTTGTATTTGTTATCAGGCTAAATAAATCTATGAGTTTCTATTTATCTGGATTTTTAAAAATTAGTTTACATTAACCATATACAGTAGATCAGAATCCCATAGCGCTGCCTTTGGTAACATATTGACAAGTTTCATTTCCCAAAAGCAAAATTCTTGCAAAAGTGAAAAGAAATCTAAGGGCTGACACAAGTGACAACTCATTAGTAATATTTAAAAAAGAGAAGGAACTGGAAGTACACATGTAAATGTGAGTGTTTTTCATAGTAATTAGGCACAAGCGTCCTCACTTGGACAAATCCTAAAGATGCTTGCCTGAGAAGGAAGACAATAAAGAGATAATTTTGGTTTTTGAATGAGAATGCACTTGTTTTTGGTGAAGTCATTTGAAAAAGCTGCCTTGAATTCTGCAATCTGAGGACATTTAAAGACACACCTTCCTATACAGATAACTTAATGTGACAAAGACAGATAGGCAGATAGTCAAACAAACTTAGTGGCATGGGATTAATAACAGGCAAGCAATGAATTGCCCAGCTTTTCCTTTGGAAGGGGGTCATTAATTTCCTTGCCCCTTACATTCCTCATCCTCAATATGAAATGATTGGGCCAGATGATCTCAACAGTTTTATCTATTAAACACACACACATACACCACCACCACCACCACCACCACCATCTTTGTCTTCTTAAAATAAAATGGTTAAATTGAAATTGACTTTTTTGAATGAGTGGCAAATTCAGCTTACTCACTGTGAAGACCCTGTATTTTGTGGGTGCAACTTATTTTTATGCTTAATAAATGAAAATTCAAAGGATTTATTAGGGACTTAAAAATGTAATTGGACAAGGTGATTCAATTCACTCAGTTTATAACCTCATGCTTCATAATAAAAGTGTGTCCCCCATCAATGTTTCTTAAGTTGGATGACATAAACTTGCACCCACTACAGGTCAAGGAAGGACCCAAGGAAAACCTTTTCAGGCAGCAAGCATTTCCTATAGGTCCTACAAATAACGTAGTCCTACCTTAGATGACTCATCGCCTTCATCTTCATGTACTGAACTGGATGGGGAAGGAGTTGCAGACTTGCTTCCTGGTGGCGATGGTGAGTTGTGGGGGACACTGCTTCCTCCCATATTCAACCCAAGCTGAGCACTCAGCTGGGACTGGTTGATGGTGGTCAGCTGGCCATGCTGCATCATGCCTGGCTGCTGCCGGATGTCTGCAGGCTGACCCCTGGGTCTCATGGCTGCCATCTGAGGATGGGAGCTATATTGAGCTCCTTCTGGGTTCCGTATATCTTGCATCTACAAGAAAATGGATAGGAATAATTTTCACAAACATGTTTCTGAGTAAATTAAAAAAAATATTCCTTAGACTTTAAAAATTCTGTAAGATGTCCTACTGAACTATACACATTTCCATCCCCTCCCCCACCCCTCTAACAGTATGTATCACCCTAAAGGTGCTGTTACCATAGAATTTGAGAGTTCAATCAACATCACAGTTCATTACCAAAGAGCCTATTAATTATATTTATAGTCCTTATTTGCTAATGAAACGTAAACATCATTAAAAATATTTATGGTATAAGTTTCAAAATATTGATGCTTATTAGAGTGTCAGCACTATATAATTATTAGTGATTACAGCGTTCACAGCAATTCATGAAATCCTTTTTTTATTGTGATTATTTAAGAAAGGTCTGGGAGTTAAGCATGCTGTTGTTCTCAGTTTAATTCTATACAGCTAGTGTTGGCCAAAATGATCTACTAACTTCCAGACTAAGAACACTCACAGATTGGTATTAACCAATTGATTAACTGACTATTGAAATGATTTGACGACACAGTCAGATTTGAAAGTGATTCCCTAAAGGTGCAAGGTCACCATATTAATCCATTACGCTATCTGGGTCACTGCTTTTTAGCCTTAATGAGACTCACTCTTGTAATTCAAGCAATGAATTTTGTTTCTGCAAGGCTTAGAATTAAAAGCATTGGAGGATGAAGCTCTTAACGTATCCAGAGATCAAATGTATTGTATAAGAGGAGTAAAGTGGATTGCATTGAACATTTCTCTGACATTTTCAAACTTATGGAGAATGATGGGGAATATTTCATGGTGCTTATAGAAGCAGCTCAGTTTTTTCATTCTGAGGGATGTTGGAGATTTTATGCAGTTCTTGCTTTATACAACAAGAGCGAGAATAAAAGAAAAGAATGGGAAAAAAGAAAAGCAATGAAGGGATGTGGTTAAAGTTATATTTTGGAACTAATAAAAAAAGAATAATGTTATCTTTCTCAGTTTCGTTAAAAAAAAAATTCCACATTGTGTCAGAGTGCCTAGTAATTACCTGTCTACAAATGTTATCATGACATGGAAATATTGTAAAAGTTAATTAAATAACTTAGTCACAGATTTTTTTTCCTTTTGGTAATAAAATCATTTTCTACTAATGCTCTCCAGTCATTTTACCAACTTAGTTGTTTCCATCTGAAACTGACGCTGTGACGGATGAGGTACCTGCCTGTGGTAGGTTTACCATCTTCACCATGAGGTCTCTCATTAGTCAGTATCACCCCTTCAGACCTTTCCAGCTCTTACTCTGCTTCACCTTCAGACTCAGTCCTAGATATTCTAGAACAGTGGTTCTCAACCTTCCTAATGCCTCGACCCTTTAATACAGTTCCTCATGTTGTGGTGACCCCCAATTTCATTGTTACAGATTGAACATAATTAAAGCATAGTGATTAATCCCCAAAACAATATGTAATTATATATGTAAGTAGTCATTACTATTCAATGATACATATTAGAGCTTCAGAGATCCTTAGTGACATTTTTTTTTTCATCTATGGAAGAGAATTATTAGGACGAGGCCATAGTAATGGCTTGTTGAATGTCTGTAGAATTAAAAAAAATAGATGATAGATAAATAAGAATGAATAAAGCCCAGAGAAGTTAAGTTACTTCCCCAAGCCACAGAGTTGGAGTTAAAATCAAGATCTCTGGATTTCAGTCTTTGATATTTCCTACAGTATTAAGCAGCTGATTCAACATTTTATGTTTCCCACAGAGAGAGTTATAGTTAACTCAAAATGATCAAAAACACCTTGTCAAATGTTTTCTGCCTAAATTGATTGTTTTTATCTGGTCCATTCATGTTGCCTCCACTCACATTTACTAAAATAGTTTTTCTTCCTTCTTAGCTGTCCCCAAATTCTATAATCTGACCTTTCATATGAAATAATACTAGCTTCTACAGATATTCTTAACGTTGTATCACTGTCATAGGGTACCGTGAAAATCAGAACTGACTTTTGAAAATGCACAGAAGAGGTAGTATATACTATACTCTCTCAAGTCCTGAAGTTCTATTGCATTTTTTTCTTTGATTCTATTTAGAACAACTCTCTCGCTGTGAGCCCAGAGTAATGGATGCATATATGGGTACTGTACTATACATGGCAGCCCCTCTCTCAATCCAACAAAGCACTCACATGCATGTTCAAACATACATGTTTGTAGGAGAATACATTTTCATAGTCTTGTAAATTAAAAACGTTTACTAACAAAAACATTTTAACTAAATTATCTTTCCCAAAGTATTTAGCTAACTGATATCATGATTTCTCCTTCACATAAATCTCAGGTTAAAAGCATGAACAGTTTGTAACTTATCTGTTTGGACCTTGCTTCTTAATCTCACTCGTTCAGAAATATCATGGTTTTCAACATGATACCACCAAGTATGATTTTTAAGTTAACTTATATATAGTTTCCAGATTCATGTCTACAACCAAGGGTCCTCAAAAGTCTAAAACGATCTCACCTTATATCACCTATCTCTCTCATCAGTTTTTAATCTTTTTGATTGTTTGCTCATGTTAATTAGTGTTGAGGGTAGATCACTGACTACTAAAATTTGTGTTCCCACCATTGACTATTGGTAGAAGGGGGTGGTGCATGGCAAAAGAGGGGTAAAGAATCAATTTGGGTAGGGACAGTGAAGTACTCAACAGGGAACCTCTTTTTCAACAGACTCATCAGAAGTTGAAAATATCACCAATGGTGTTAGGCCAGGCAGACAAACAGTTTTAACACCAAATCAAAGGACAATTTTTTTTCTGTTTAGAGGGTAGGGAGCACAAATTAGAAAGCATACTCCCCTCTTAGGTCTCTGATGCACTTAGAAATAGATCTTAACACCCATGGTGACATTTGGAAATTAGGAGGAGTATTTTTATTTTTTAAATTACAAAAATTAATGGAGAGGAAGAGAGAGATAGGAACATCAATGATGGGAAAGAATCATTGCTTGGCTGCCTCCTGCGTGCCCCACACTGGGGATGGAGCCCACCAGCCGGGCATGTGCCCTGACCAGGAATTGAACCGTGACCTCCTGGTTCGCAGGTTGATGCTCAACCACTGAGCCATGCTGGCCGGGCTGGAGTATTTTTATTTCATCTTGCTTTCATAAGAGTCAGTTCAGTATCAGTCACTGCCTAATAGATAACATGGGGAAAATATGGATGGAATCTGATTACTTACTGACAATTAGCTCATGAATGAAAGCAAATGTTTTGATTACTGGCTTCCTTCTAGAAAGATATTGATTTAATTACAGGTCTTAATGTCAAATACACAACCTCAACTTGTGAAGTATTATTTCCAATATTTTTAACTTATTGTGAATAATTCACTTACGTCATGCTTATGACAACTGCTGCTTTCTCGGATTCTTCATGACTCCTCTATTACTTCTTCCTACAACTTCCCACCACCCCTACATGATTCCCTAACATTCTGTTACTCATTCACATTTCTTCCACCCAGCTAAGATTCATCATGATTTTGTTAATGAGGAACGTTTTACACTGAAATGTACAGTTCTGACCAAAACTCCAGGTCTAACTTTGCAATTGCCTGTTAGACATCACTACTTGGACATCACCTCTGTTAGAAACATGAACGATGTTTTCTCTCTCAAACCTATTTTGTACAATGTGTCCAATTTCTGTTGATGACACCTTCATTAGCCATGTCACCTCTATGCAAATGTTCTAGTAACTTTTGATTCTTTCCTTTCCTTTCAAACTCTTCTGAGTTCCATTGAGTCTACTCTAAAATATCCCTCCCATCAGCCCTTTCAGTCCCACACCCATTCATGTATTTCAGGCCTTTATTATCTCTCCACTTACAATAGTACTTGACTAAAAAGCATCTCTTCACATCCACCCTGAAGGGTACTGCAAAATTAATCTCCATGAACTATAGACTCAAAAACGTCCCAATGATATCTGCCTACCAAATTAAGTCTAATCTCTGGCATGCCATTGAAGATTCCAAATAAACCGTATTGCCTATCCCTGTTCTTCACACACTGTATTGTTCAGCCAAACCCAGTTAATTGCTATTCTTTGCCTATGTCTCTCCCCCTTGAACATGTGTCTTTGTCTATGCTGTTCTTTTAACATTCATTTTCTGAGCATCTGCTGTCTGAAGTTTTAAAAAGCAGTTTAAAAAAATCTCACTTTGCTCAGTGATTTGTGGTTTGCACAGTGTTTTTACTTATTGAGCTTTGTAATTCCCTTTGAGGCAGCCCTTAGGAATGACTGTTTTGCACAAGTTTATTGAGAATGGGAGAGGTTAAATGGTTTCAGATCTTTCTACCAACAGAGATTAAAGCAGAAATGAAATATGATCATTTTATTTTACATATGTGTTTTCTTTTTTTACAATACTTTTATATTCAAGCCCTAAGTATATTTTAAAGTCAAGTTTAAAAATCAGCTCATCTCCAAAGCTTTAAGAACCTTTCTACTCAGAATTGGGAAGCATTTCTTTATGGGAACCCCACTTTTAAATTTCTTAGTCTAATGTGTATGTACTTTCTAGAGAGTAATCTTGATCAGTACACAACTAATTTAAATTCAATATTTCAAGTGTTCAAAATTATTTGCTGAGTCATTATAAAATTGAAGAAATAAATACTACAAGTATGAACTTACTATAACCATTTTGATGATTTTTCTTTTTTTTCTGTGACCTTGATCTAGCATTATTCACAAGATGAAAAAATTTGAATGATGTCTATTTCCCTTTATGACAGAAACCTCAAGCTATAACCTCCTTGACACTCATTATACTTTTGTCCTGAGGGACAGGCCTCCATTATTTAGCTGTCTAGCCAAGAAGCTAGCTAACAGAGGGCATTTCCTACCTTCCTCTGTAGCTTTGTATGGCCATCTGACTACGTTCTGACTAATGAAACCTAAGTGCAGGTGTTGTGTGGTACCTCTGA